CAACCCTGGCCTGGAACCCCTCCAGGGATGGGCCAGCCACAGCTTCTCAGGGCAACCTGCCCCAGGGGATCACCACAGCCAACAATTTCTCCTCGATATCTCCCCAAAATCTCCCCTCTGTCAGTGTCAAACCGTCCCCCCTCACCCCACGGCTCCCCTCCCTGACCCAGAGTCCCCCCCCAGCTCTCCTGGAGCCCCTTTAGGCACTGGAAGGGGCTCTGAGGTCTCTCTGGAACCTTCTCCTCTCCATGCTGAGAAGCGAACTCTCCGGGGATGGAGATGGAGCGGGTCGGGGTCCGGGAGGGGGTGGCCATCCCTCACGCAGGGGGTCTCATCCCCACCGTCTCTGCGGCAGGGCTGACGTCGGAGGGCATCTACCGCAAGAGTGGGCAAAACTCCAAGACCACCAACCTGCTGGAGATGCTGCGCCGGGACGCCCGCAGCGTCCGCTTGAAGGAGGGCGAGCACCAAGTGGACGACGTCGCCAACACCCTCAAACGCTTCTTTCGCGACCTTGGGGATGGGCTCTTCACCGCCCGGTGGGGACCGGACTGGCTGCGGGCAACGGGTGAGCCCTGAGGGGGCTGCTGGGGGCTTGGGGCTCCCCGAAATGGCTGTAGCCCCCTTTGCCCTCTCCTCCGGGCTACGTGGGGATTGCATGTATGGGCCATGGGTGTTCGGGGGCTGCGGTGGTGGGTGGGGAGCAGAGAGAGCCCATGCTGACCCTGGACAGCCCCATGCTGGGGCTGGGATGGGGCAGAGAGCCAGACCCCCCCCAAGACCCCCCCAGGCCCTTCGCTTTTGAATCCGGCCCGTGAATACCGGGGATGGAGGCGCCCGGTGGCAAAACAACCGGGAGCCGTGGTGCTGCAAAGCTGGGGTGCTCCGGCCCCATGATGTTGGGGTGCTCCAACCCCACGGAGCTGGGATGCTCCGGTGCCGTGATGTTGGGATGTTCCGTCCCCATGGAACTGGGGTGGTCTGGTCCCACAGAGCTGGGATGCTCCATCCCTATGATGTTGGGGTGCTCTGGTCCCACAGAGCTGGGATGCTCCATCCCTATGATGTTGGGGTGCTCCTGTCCCACAGAGCTGGGATGCTCCAGCCCTATGATGTTGGGGTGCTCCAGTCCCACAGAGCTGGGATGCTCCGGCCCCATGATGTTGGGGTGCTCCTGTCCCACAGAGCTGGGATGCTCCAGCCCTATGATGTTGGGGTGCTCCAGTCCCACAGAGCTGGGATGCTCCAGCCCTATGATGTTGGGGTGCTCCAGTCCCACAGAGCTGGGCTGCTCCAGCGCCATGGTGTTGGGGTGCTCCGTCCCATTGATGTTGGGGTGCTCCAGTCCCACAGAGCTGGGATGCTTCAGCGCCATGATGTTGGGGTGCTCCTGTCCCACAGAGCTGGGGTGCTCCGTCCCCATGGAACTGGGGTGCTCCAGTTCCACAGAGCTGGGGTGCTCCATCCCATTGATGTTGGGGTGCTCCTGTCCCACAGAGCTGGGGTGCTCCGTCCCCATGGAACTGGGGTGCTCCAGTTCCACAGAGCTGGGGTGCTCCATCCCATTGATGTTGGGGTGCTCCAGTCCCACAGAGCTGGGATGCTCCAGTTCCACAGAGCTGGGATGCTCTGTCCCCGTGATGTTGGGGTGCTCTGGTCCCACAGTGCTGGGGTGGTCCTTTCCTACAGAGTTGGGATGCTCCAGCCCCACGGAGCTGGCATGTTCTGGCCCCGTGGATCTGGGATGCTCCCGTCCCCCAGACCTGGTGTGCTCCTTTCCCACAGAGCTGCGATGTGGTAGCCCTGGGATGCTCCAGCCCCATGGAGCTGGGATGCTCTGGCCCTGAGCTGCTCTGGTCCCACAAAGCTGGGATGTTCCGTCCCCATGATGTTGGGGTGCTCTGGTTGCACAGAACTGGGATGCTCCATCCCCATGATGTTGGGGTATACTGGTCCCACAGAGCTGGGATGCTCCAGTCCCACAGACCTGGGGTGCTCCGGTCCCACAGTGCTGGGATGGGGTAGCTCTGGGATGCTCCAGTCCCATGGAGCTGGGATGCTCTGGCCCTGAGATGCTCTGGTCCCACAGAGCTGGGATGCTCTGGTCCCATAAATCTGGGATGCGGTAGCCCTGGGATGCTCTGGCCCCACGGAGTTGAGACGCTCCGGCCCTGGGGTGCTCCAGCCCCATGGAGCTGGGATGACTCAGCCCTGTGAAGCTGGAATGCTCTGGGCCCTGATGGACTGGGATGCTCCATCCCTACGGAGCTGGGATGCTCCAGTCTTGTGGAGCTGGGATGCTCCGGCCCCATGGAGCTGGGGTGTCCAGCCCTGGGGTGCTCCAATCCCACGGAGGGACAGGAGGGTCTGAGGTGGGGTCTGGAGAGGGGGTGGTGGGACCGTGGGTCTTAAATCTCACCTTCACGCCCCTCCGCGCTCATCCTCTCCCTCCTGCCCTTCTCGCAGCGCTGGAGGACGAGGAGGCAAAGATCGACGAGTACCGGCGGCTCCTGAGCACCCTCCCCACGGTGAATCGGGCCACGCTGAAGGCGCTCATCAACCACCTCTTTCGGTATGGCACGGGCGGCAGGTCCGTGGCACGGCCGAGCCCCTGTGGGGCATCGCCCCGTCCGCTGTGGGGTCCCGGGATGAAGAAGAGCCCTCATCCCTCGGTTCACAGCCCAAGCGAGGAAAGGAGGGGGATTTGGGGTCAAGCTGTGCCCGGAGCGTTGGGTCATGTCCCGATGTGGGGCGCGTTCCCCTTGGCAAGGCTGAAGGGGGGTTCCTTGGGAGGAGTGCTCCGGGGTAGGAATCGTAACGGGGTTCTTCACAGGGTCCAGCGCTTCTCTGGGGAGAACCAGATGAACACGCACAACCTGGCCATCGTCTTCGGCCCTAAGCTCTTCCAGACGGACGGGAAGGACTACAAGGCGGGACGCGTGGTGGAGGACCTCATCAGCCACTACGTGAAGATCTTCAATGTAGGTTCACCCTCCCTGCCCGCGGCGCTGCTCTGGGTCGGGGCCACGTGTGGACATTCCCAGGGGATGGGGAGGTGGAAGGAGGAAGAAGCTGGATCTACTCTGTCTGCGGACATCTCCTTGCTTTGGAGACAAGGGGAGGGGTTCCATGTCCCTGCAAACCCTGGAGACCCCCCAGGAGGTGCCGGCATCGCTGGGCAGAGGAGCAGATTCCCCTGAGGACCCACGTCTACTGCTGCAGTGAAACTTAAGGGTGGTCTGGTCAACCCTGATGGCTTCTCTTCCTTGGCAGGTCAACGAACAAGAGATGAAGAAGCAGCAGGATGAGATCATGGCCATCATGAAGATGCGGGAGGCAGCGTCCAGTGGGAAGCAGGTGGGTCCTGGTCCTGGAGACCTTCCCGGGACACCCGCTTTGCGTGGGGACCTGACCGCCTGCTGCAGCATGTCCTGGAGATGCCTCAGACAGGGGACGTCCATGCTGGGTTGGGGGGATTAGCTCCAGGTTGAAGTGCTTTCCTGTTGCCCTTCAGCAAGCCGGGGACTTCATCTGCACTGTCTACCTGGAGGAGAAGAAGACGGAGGCAGAACAGCACGTCAAGGTGAGTGGTGGGGTGGAGGGCCCAGAGCGGATGGGGACCTCTGTGGTGGCATGGGGTGGCTCTGTGGCACGAGGGTGGCATGGCCCCAGGCACAGGCTGATGGAGACCTGTCCCTTCCCTCTGTCCCTCCCGCCCAGATCCCGGCCACGATGACAGCCGAGGAGCTCACCTTTGAGATCCTGGACCGGAGGAAAATCGTCATGAAGGAGAAGGACTATTGGAGCTGCTTTGAAGTGAACGAGAGGGAGGAGGCAGGTCGGTGTGGGGACATCAGGGTGGTGGGGATGGGGGCGGAGATGGGGATGGGTATAGGGGTGGAGTTACAGATGGAGATGGTGATGGGGATGAAGATGGAGATGGGGATGAAGATGAGGATGTTGACTGAGACAGGGATGGAGGTGGGGATGGAGATGAAGATGGAGGTGGGGATGGGGATGTTTATGGAGACAGGGATGGAGATGGGGATGGAGATGGAGATGGGGATGGAGATGGAGATGGGGAGGGGGATGGTGATGGAGATGGGGATGGGGATGGAGATGGGGATGGGGACGGAGATGGGGATGGGGATGGAGATGGGGATGGAGATGGGGATGGTGAGGGAGATGGAGTTTAGAGATGGGGATGGAGATGGGCATGGGGATTGGGACAGGGAAGGGGACGGAGATGGTGATGGAGATAGGGACGGAGTTTAGAGATGGGGATGGGGATGGAGATAGGGATAGGGATGGGGATGAGAAGACTCCCATGTGGACCGTACCATGGAGCAATGCTGGGACGGGCTCCAGGCGCTCAAGGGAGGATGGCCGCAGTGCTGCAGCTTTGCTCGCCGCACCCAGGTTGCAACGTGGCCGAACGCTGCAGATGGGCTGATGGTTTGGGCCAGGACCCACCGGGCCATCTGTCTGCATCCTTTGGGCTTCAAATACCTTGGAAGCCCTGGGGCCGGGGAGGGGGGAGGCGTGTTTGGGGGTCTCCAGCCACCAAAGGGAGCAGCTTTGGGGTGCAGCTGCAAGCGAGAGCTCGGTGTGAGCAGGATGAGACCCCGGTCCTGCCTGCCGGTGCCTCGAGCTCCTGCCGCCGGCTCTGGAGGGCTGAGGGTGGCCCGGGGGGCCGTGCCCGGCAGGGTGCTGAGCCCCACAGCGCTCCCCGGGCATCCCCGAAAGCCTCTGCTGAGATATTCCCGTCCTTCCCAACCCCAAGGTTCAGGATCCTCTCTGCGAAGGGTCGGGGGCTGCTTCACCCCTCTTCTCCGCGGGGGGAAGCACCGACACGCCGTGCTCAGCCCCCCC